TACACACAATCAAATGTCTTTGCATAGTTAATGAAACACAGATAGACATTTCTCTGATGCTCTCTGCTTTCAGCTAAGATCCATTTATCATTGGCTTTAATCCCCTAGTGCTACAAGCTCTCCTAAACCCAGCCTGCACATATGGCAGTTCTCTGTTGATATGCTGTTCTAGCCATTTTGGGGTCGTTTTCAGCAGAATTTTGCTTGCATGTGATATTAATGATATTGTTTGATAATTTCCACATTTTTTCAGATCACCTTTTTTTTTTTTTTGAATGGGTGTAAATATAGATTTTTTTTTTTACTTTTCCAGGTGATTGTCCTCCAGATTTCCTTGCACAATCTGATGGGTGCATCCAGGGCTTCTTCTCTTTGTTTAAGTATGTCAGTTGATAAGCCATCAGTTCCTGAGGCCCTTCACCCCCACCCCAATTCTTTCAGAGTAGCTTGAACTTCCTCCTTCATCACCATTGGCTCTTGAACTTATGTCCTTTCAAGAAATTCTTCTGTGTAAGCCTATTCTTTTTGCTATAGTGACTTTGTGTACTCCTTCCATTTTCTTTTGCTGGAAAGAGTCATTAAAAATTCTTCCCATAGCATGCGTAAGTATTGCAACTTGAGGCTTGATTTTGTTCTTCTCTTCCTTTAGCTGAAGAAATCCTAAATGAGTTCATCCATTTATATTTTCCAATTCCAGCTCTTTGCATATTTCATTATAATAATCTTCTCTGTCTTCCTGTCCTGAAATCTTTTCAGCTCCTCAACATCTTGAATTCTGCCCTTTGCTTTGGCCTCTTGGTGCTCTAGTGCAATATTTCATCCTGGTCTTTTCCTCGTCATCCATCTTTGTAATGACATTTTGCATTTTCATTGATGATATTCTTGATATCCTCCCACAGCTCATTTGGTCTTCGTTCATTAGTATTCAAGACCTCAAACCTGTTGCTGGGATTTTCTTTACATTCAGGAGGCATTGACTCAAGGTCAAACTTTGATTCTTGTGGATTTGATTCTATTTTCTTTAGCTTCAGTTTGAACTTGTATAAAAGTAGATTAGCACTTGGCCTAGTTTTCACAGCATGTTATTAAGAGAGGCTTTTCCTTAGAGAGGGACTTTGGGCTTGGAAAGGTAGTATGTCAGCAAAAGAGAGAAAGACCCTCAACTAAGTGGACTGACACAGTGAGTGGAGAAATGAGCTCAAATGTGTCAAGAGGTAGTGAGGTTGAAGCAGGATAGGATAGGGTTCAGATCTGTTGTTCATAGGGTCACTTTGAGTTTTACATGACTAAATGGCACCTAACTATATCTGTTAGTCAGCTGTACTGTGATGTCTTTCATGTAGCTGTGATTGCTTGCATTGCTGGTGTTGGCTGAAAGTAGAGGATGTCAGCAAGATGTTTATTTGAATTTTATTGATAATTTAAAAACATTTAATTGTGTGGCTCATAACAAATGATAGTTAATTTTGATTAGAATGGAAATCCCAGAACACTTAATTGTGCTCATGCAAAACTGATCGACACATACACAACAGAGCAGTTGTTCAAACAGAACAAAGGAACACTGCATGGTAAAAGACAGGAATGTTGTGTGTCAACATTGTATCCTTTCTCCATACTTATTCAAAATGCATGCTGATCACATCCTTGAAGAAATTGGGCTAAATGAAGAAAGTCGCATCCGGATTAGAGGAGCACTCATCAACAGCTTACATTATCAGATGACTCACACCTTGCTTATAGAAAGTGAAGAGAACTTTAAGCACTTACTGCTGAAGATTAAAGATCCATATGGATTACATCTCAACAGTAAGAAAGCAAAATTTCTCACCTCTAGATCAATAGGAAACGGAGCTCTGGTGGCCTGGTGTTAAAAAGCTGCCCTGTAATCCCAAAGACCAGTGGTTCAAATCCACCAGCTGCTCTGCAGGAAAAGGATGAGCAGTCTCCTCTCGTGTAATTTATTATCTCTGAAAACCCACAGGAGGGTCAATTACAGGTCACTTCCCACCCAACCGTACTAACCTACAACAGACAAATAGGTTGCATTAACATAGGTAGAGGAAATATTGAAGTTATCAACAATGTCCTTTTACTTTGATCTACTGTCAACACTCGTATTACTTGCAGTGAAGAATTCAAAAGACTTGTTGCATTGGGGAAAACCTCCTTTCCAGGACCTCTCCAAGGTGCTAAAGAGTAAAGATTTGAGGTCGAAGTCGAAGGTGCACCACCTGTACCCAGCTATGTAATTTTCTGTTGTTTCCTGTGCATCTGAATGTTGAATAGTGAACAAGGAAGACAGACTAAGAATTGATGCCTTTGAATTATGATGTCAGCCAATAGTATTGAACATCCCACAGTATACCCAAAGAACCAATGCATTTATCTTGAATGAGCTGCAATCAGGGTCTGAAGATGGACTAATCCTTGGGAAGAGATATGCTGGGAAAGATTGAGAGTCAGTGAAACAGAGACCTTCAACAAGTTGGATTGACACATTCAGTACCATAATGGACATGAGCGGGACCAAGGTTGTGGTGGTGCAAGATCAGGCTTGGTTCATAGCTGTTGTTTATTGTGTTGCTGTGAGTTGTAGTCAACCTAATAACAAACTTATTAAAAAATCACTTAAGTTCCTTTGTCTCAAATTAAATTTTATCATTAAAGACTTTCATAAAATAAAGCAGAGAAAGATCAGAGGAAATATATGTAAACATACTTGTAGAAATATAATTGTGGAAAGTGTTAGGCTTTTTCAAATGTGTACTGAACAAAGAAATATGAGGTATAGATATAAAGACATTTTAAACATAAATTAAAAATGTATAATTTGAGAAACTTTTTTTTTTAATTCCTTCACAGGTGATATTTTACTTTGAGCTGCAGGTCAATTTTAAATTTAAACTCTAATAATAAATGAGAAGAAATTAACTTCTTGCACAAGAAAGTAAATTCTTTGTTCTGCATTATATGAACAGGGGGGAAATATCTTTATGGCTAAGTCATTCCTGTTCTACTTTGTAATACAAAGAATAAGTTGTCTCATAACTGTGGAGCATGCTTGCTTTCTCTGGAAACACTGCTGACATTACCACCTTCAACCCTTCAAAATTTTTACCTACTTTCTTTAGTTCCATCTTTCAAAATTATAAATGAAAGTGAAGCCCAACTCAGATGTCATTTTTCTATGAAACATTATTTTACCCCAAAACAAAAATTATCTACTCTACCCTTGAATCCTTGAGTCATTTTGTTTTAATACTTGATAACTGTATTAATGAACTATTAGAGAAACAGAGTACTGTGCTGGTAGAGAACATCTCTTGTGGTATTTACTGGTAAGTCTTATTCATTGCCATGCCTTTTGATTTGTGTCTTCACTAAACATTATTTGTGTTATAATTGGGTGTGACCATATACATTAATTATTATGAGATTAAAAAAGAACAAAAAAAGCAGAGCTAGTTTGTAAATAATTTTGACTCTTCAAAAAAAAGGCTAGAGGTTTAACATGGTTTAAAAAAGAAAAATGTAGTGGATGAATTGTCCCATAATACATAGTAGAATGACTCTGCACTGGGAAAGTACCCGGCAATATGGTAATCAGTGTTAGAGCACCATTTTTTAAATTTAATTTCTATGAAACTTTGCATGCTTACAGTCTTTATAGTTAATTCACTTGAAATATTTTAATTTTAAATTGTTATTTTTTATGAATATGCTTTGGTTTTATAATTGTTTATGTATGCATAAGGAGTTTATACCTAATTTTATATTTGTGTATAGACAACAAAATATATATATTTTAAACCACCATCAAGAATCTAGTAAGAATTTTTCTTTTGAAAGAAGAATTCATATATTACTGAAGGTTGAGAAATATTAATAAAGATTGTGTGCTCTAATGGATGTCAGATGCAGAAGAGATCGTTTAGAGTAACAAATTAGTAATAAATACTAATTTCAATAATAAGTAATAATTTAAAATGATAACTAGCCATTCATGAAATATTCTACAAAGATATTGTCAAGAACTAAAACCAAAATATTTATTTATGTTTAGTATTTTAATGTCTTAGCTTATGAATACATAAATTAAAGAGTGATTTTTAAATTCTTTCCTCAAAGATATGCCTTTTTTTTACTATTAACTATTTGCTTGTGTATATTCATACTCTCCTACATTATATCAGCTTATACACTTTACAGTTATTTTGTGAAATGTTTTATCTATCTGTTTTTAAACTTTATACTGAAATTGAGATTTTAGATTCATATTGCATGTTTCAGTAATTTTTTTTAAATAGAGGTTTCTAATAGCACATTTATACTTTTATTAATCAGTCTTGCTGTTATTCTCTTATCTTTAAATGAGGTTAAAATGTCATTTTATTTGTCTGTTATTACTTATTTTAACTAAAAGGTATAGTCAAAATAGGAGAAGTTGAAGTCATTAATTTCCTTATTTGTTTCTGACTTTAACAGTTTGTAGCTGTTGCTTGTTTTCTTACAAAATTATTTCTTTTGATAATTTTTAAACTTGAAAATTATTTAATATATTTTATGATAATGTTTATATATGATAAATAGAAATATATGGTAGCTTATTTAAAACTGAGGGTTTTAGAAAGTATAATTAGTAGCACGCTTTTATACAGAAAATTGATATACAGTGAAAAATAGTCAATGATAATCATTTTAAATCATTGACCTTGATTTGATAAAATTATTATTTTTTATGTTTATTAATGCTTGGTTTAATAAAAGGCTAACTGAAAATTACGAATTAATTCTATGGGTACTATATTACATAGAGTAACATAGTATATGCTGTTTTGCTTGTATTTCAGCATTGTTTTTAATTTAATATTCTTGTTGCAAAAATACACCATCCCTGTCTTTTAGAGAATACAATAATATTATTTACATTAATTCCTGTGGCTTGATGAAAAAATGCTATACCTCCTTTACTTAATGGGATTCTTCCCTTGTGGCAGTGCACACGGCTGGAGCAGGAGCTCCATCATCTGAAAGAGCAGAGCCAGACTTCAGCAAACAACATGAGACATCTGACTGCTGAAAACAATCAAGAACGTGCTCTGAAGGTAAATCTCCATTCCTTCTTGCAGGCAAATTAAGGTTGTAAGCCCTTGGTGCCAGCTTTCTGTGCTGCATATATCAGTTGTGTACATTTCAGCAGAAGTGAGCTGTGGTGTTTGCCAACAACTCCTTCTTTAAACACAGATACAGCACCCTTCTGTTATGGTATTATTGTATTCCATGTATGTGTACATGAAAACAACATATTTTCTGAATTTTTAGTAATGGAACTGTACATTTTCATCCTACTTTTATTTGCATAATGTATTATTACCTTTTTTAGTTCATTAAAAATGACTATACTTTTTTAAAAATACATGGACTTTTAATAGTATTTTTACAACTATTACATAATTACTTGTAGTATCAAACCACGGAATGGATAATATTTTAAAAAGGATAGGTTAATTGAAAGAATACTTGAAATGCTATCTAAAATATATACGAAAGATAGAATGTTCTGCTAGAACTTGAACAGAATGAAGTGTGCATTCATGGCAAGAAGATACATGCCATTGTAATATAGAACTCTTAACCACAAAACAAAAAATATGCTCTAATTGTTTTTAAGGTGCACTTGCCTTTCCAATCTCCTTGTGTTTGCCTAAGTGCCTGTCATAGTTATGGGACATAGTAGGTGCTTAGTGAATATCATTGAGGTGCTAAGTACATGCAAGAAGAGACAATAGTGGGTAGAATGAAATACCCTGGTTTGCTGTCTTCTGGTTGTATGGAGGGGTTTTTTTTAAGTAAAATTTTTAAAAAAGTTTTTAGTCAGGGCATTATTTTTATCGTAGGAGTATGCAGTGAGGGTTGTAGAGTGGATTATATTTGGGTCTAGGGGGTGGGGTTTGGGGAGGTGGGGGGGGGGATTGTGTACCAATGAGGGAGTTTTTCTTTTGCTTTTCAAGGAGAGGAGCAAATGGGGGGAAGGGGGGAGGGGTTTGTGCGGGGAGAAGGGTGCAACAATGAATGAATGGAATCCCAAAATCTCTGTAGATGTTCATTGAAATGAAAAATAAACAACCTAAATTTTAAAAAAAAAAAAGTTTTTAGTCTAGTACGTAGGAGGGAAATAAACCTATTATCTTTCTTAAAACATCTTTTATAAGTATCTTTTTTCCTCATTTGAGGTTACCTACTTAAAGACAGCAATATGCCTTTAGATCATTTAATACTCACAAATAGAAGATTGTCCCTCTAAATGATATATACTTTGAAAACATGTATTGATTGTTTGGAACACAATGAGCAAAGATTTAAAAAATAAAAATTATGAGTAAGCCAGGAATTTCAGATATGTATGTATGTCAGTTTTTGAACACCCAATTTTAATTTTAATTATTCAAATAATAATTTCTAAAATATCATTTTAGTATCAAAAAGCATATTGAGCAAGTTATTGAACCCTTTAATAAATTGTTATTTGCGTTAATTGTGCTAAAATGTCACTACTAATCAAATCTGTTATGCTGGGATGACATTATATTACTAAAAATATAATTTAAAGTTCCATGGCTATTCACTGTATATTCAGAGTTAATTTCAAGTACATTAATTTTTAAAAGAAAGTGATAGCTTTTGGTTGAGTCACATTTTTCTTTAGAGTTGAATTATTCACATTGCAATCTAGTGAGATTTTCAACTTTCATACAGTTTTTTTTTCATTCAAGCAGTGTTTATATTTAGTGAATAATTTTTCTTCATGCAAATTGGTAAGTCATTAGGAATTGGTGGTGTTGTTAGGAGCCATCAAGTTGACTACAACTTATAGCGAACCTATGAATAATGGATCTGTTCCTTGCCTTATCTTGTGCCATCCTCATTATCTCTGATATGTTTGAGGCCATTGATAGAGTTAACTGTGTCAATTCATCTTATTGAGAGCTTTCCTCTCTCTCTTTTTTTAAATTTTTGATTAGTTTGCTTACAAAGTTCATACACATTGTGTTTCACACTGTGCTCCATACAATCATTCATTCCCATTCATTATGTTTTATAAAACTAATCATCATTGCACTATATCCACCATTACCCTGACTTTCCAGATCCCTTCTAGATCTTTCCCATTTTGTTTACCCACCCTTCCCGCCATCTACCAAATAGTGTGACCCTATGATATCCCCCTGCCTGTCTTCACCCCTCTGCTCCCACCCTCCCCACCTTGAATTACCATACACCTTTTACTAGTTACCTTTCTATTTCTACAATAATAGTCTCATGCAGTATTTGTCCTTAAGAGACTGAGTTAGTTCACTCTTTATAATGCCCTCTAGTCTCTTCCAAATTATGTAGTAATTTTTAAACTGTTACTCCTAAGCTCTGTATAGTAGTTCATTGTGTAAATATACCATAATTTCTCAGTCTATTCTGTTGTAGTTGGACATTTGAGCTCTTTCCATGTTATTAAAATAGTGACTAGCACTGCTATGAATATTGATGTACAAATCTCCATTTGTGTGTGAGTTCTAATTTCCTTGGAGTGTATTCCTACCAGTGGAATAGCTGGATCATGTGGAGTTTCTGTGTTCAGCTTTTTGAGGAAATGCCAAACTGCCTTCCAGAGTGGTTGTGCCATTTTACAATACCACAAACAGTATATCCTTCTCCAACATTTATAGCTTTTTGTCCTGTTAAACTTTACCACTGCTACTAGGGTGAGATGGCATCTCGTTGTGGTTTTGATTGGCATCTTTCTTACTGCTGGTGATTTTGAGCATGTCTTCGTATGTCTGTTGGCCATTCAGATATCTTCCTCTGTGAAAAGTGTTTCCATGTCTTTTGCCCAGTTAGCAGTCCTTTTCTTGTAGAGGCACTATAGTGGTCTGTAGAGGGTCTTCCTCTCTTTTGTTGACTTTCCATCTTTCCAAGAGCAATGTCTTTCAAAGGACTGCCTCCTCCTGGTGAGATGCCATTAAGGATAGTAGACAAGTTTCGTTCACCAAATAGAAAAATCCAGCAAAATCACAAATTCCATATCTCCATAAACGTAAGAATCACTTTTGAATACTAAATATTTCACAATATTTTAATTATGTATCAATGCATAACATTTTCATGCCTTGAAATAGAAGAACTAGATACAATATGAATCTTTAAAATTTAATTTTCTGAAAAATCCTTCAAACTTAAATTTTTTAAACAGCAATTTACATAGTGTATTTGAATTTATATTACTAATATTCTTGAAATACTTTAATTTTTATATTTTTAGTAATAATACAAATTATATTGCCCTATTTTTCTTAATAGCCAACTAAATTTATTTTATTCAGTATTAAAGTGAGCTTGAAACATTACCTTTCAATACCTCTACTCATTTCCTCCTTGGAGGCTAGGATTTTGAAGTTCCATCTCACCTACTTTGGGCACATGGCAAGGAAGGGCCGGTCCTTGGAGAAAGATATGCTCAAAAGGGTGTAGGGACAGCACAGGAGAGGAAGACCCTGAATGAGATAGATTGAAACAGTGACTGGGGCAATTGGAGTTGGTGTGTCAAAATTAGTGAGACTGTCTCAGGATAGGGGAAGGTTCAAAGCTGTTGTACATAGGGTCGCTTGGGGTTGCAAGTGACTCGACGGCACATAACAACAACAGCAACTTACTTCCTCAGTGCAATATTTAGGGATGCTATAGGCAAAATTTTGTATAGTCCAGGAAACATCAAATGAAGATGGAGGGAACACATAGAGTCACTGTCTAAAAAGGATTGGCTGATACTGAAATATTTCAAGAAGTGGTAAACGATCAAGAGCCAGTGATAATGAAGGAAGAATTTCAAGTTGCCCTGAAAACATCAGCAAAAAAGAAGATCCCGGGAATAAATGAATACAAGTTGAAATGTTTCAAATGACAAATGCAGCCCTGGAAATGCTCACCAGTTTATGTCAGGAAATGGAGGATAGTTGCCTGGCTAACTGGATAGATCAATATTTGTTCCCATTACCAAGAAAGGTGATCCAAAGAATATGGAAATTATTGAACAATATAAAGATATTGCATGCAAGCAAAATATTGCTGAGAATCGTTTAAAAATTTCTAGAACAGCTCATAGAGAACTGCCAGACGTTCTAGCTTGATTTAGAAGAGGCTGTAGGACCAGAGATATCATTGCTAATGTCAGATGGATCCTGACAAAGAAAGGAAAAGATGGATTCTATAAAGAAAAATGTCTGTGCTTTACTGACTATGCAAAAGCACTTGACTGTGTAGATAATAACAAATTACGGCTAACATTGAGAAGAATGGCAATTCCAGGACACTTGATTATACTCATACAAAATCTAACATTACATGATTTAAAGTCAGGAATGGTATATGTCAGGGTTGAATCCTTTCTCCTTACTTATTTAATCTGCATGTTGAGTAAATTACTCAAGAATCAGAACTTTATGAAGAAAAATGTGGCATCAGGATTGAAAGACTCATCAATAACTTTCCTTATGCATATGATACAACCTTGCTTGCTGAAAGTGAGGAGGACTTGAAGAACTTGCTTCAGAAGGTTAAACATTGTGGCTTTCAATATGAATTGCATCTCAGTATCAAGAAACAAAAATCCTTGCCACTGGACCAATATGCAACATCATGATGGATAGAAAAAAAGACTAATTATAACTCAAATTTAATAATTTAAAACAGAGAACTTGATTGTTGGTTTGTATTCTTTTTGAGCACTAAATTTGGTACTTCATCCAGTCTTTTGTTAATTTAGAAAATGTATTCATCTTCATTGCTTTTCCCCACAATTCTTGTCAGCAGATTCTATTCATTCTGCCATTACAAAAATAAAATCTTAGTTGCAATCACATTGTACATTTTATGTTGCTTCATAACTAACCCAAGAAACTAATATTTGCCACTTCTACTACTGCACTGGGTTCCTGCCTGGCCCTGGTATTTCCATTCTTGATATGAAGTCTTTGTTTCCACAAGCATACAAATAATATTTTTAAATCAGTTTATATTACCTCAGGACCTCCCATAACTTTCTATTATCACATAG